AGTTGTCCGGGTCATGAGGGGTTAATTGCCAAATAGGGCGTGTTCGCGACGCTGCCCAGGCATTCAATGACCCCCTCGACACTAACGACCTTTCCAATACCCTTCATACACACACAAACACACAAACACACCAAAACACATAAATACATACATACAAGCATACATACCTGTATACAAACATAAATACATACATACATACATGCATACATACATACATAAATGCACACATGCATACATATATACATACATACATACATCCATACATATATACATACATACATACATCCATACATATATACATACATACATACATATATACATTAACGCAGAGACATGTAGGGAGAATAGACGTAGGTGTCCGGCCGAGATGAGATGCGAAATGGCCAGTCGGCCACCCCATCGCGCAGGTCCGAGGGTGCCGGAGCGCCGAAAGGCTGTTCTCGTAACCGCCGGCCTCGGGCTTAACCAACCGGCCCTACAGCCTCGGGCCTTGTGACGTAATCAGGTTCGGGGCCCGTTTTACGCAACGCCACTCGGCGTCCCCAAGCCCCTCAGCTGTCGTGGTAGCTGCTCTTTTCTGCGCTTTCATGTCAACACTCTCGATGCTATGTATGCGTGTGTGTGTGTGTGTATGTGTGTGTGTGAGTGTGAGTGTGTGTACACATGCACCAGAAGATGAGCAAATTGGTGTTGCAGACATGCTCGAGACGATATGTTTGGAGCAAAAGCGACCGTTTCGCCTGAACAGCCGTCAGCCAATTACTGTCCCAGCAACCGCGGTGTGGCAGACGTTCCAAGGAGGACGGCCTTGACGACGTCGGTGAGACTCGGAGGAGGGGGAAAGTCTGGACAGTACGTCATGGCGACAAGTCGAGATAGCGTCTTCTTGAGCCCGCTCAAAGGTGTTGAACTCACTTTCATGTCAAATGAAAATGTCTGTGTGTGTGCATGTGTGTGTGTGTGTGTGATGAAGAGGTTCTAAGGTCGATCCCAACTGATGATGATGTATGCTTCCTCTTCGCCAGCATTCGAATGGATATATGAAATCTCGATCCGGCACACACACTCGAAATGGAAGTGAGCTCAATGATTGTATGCGAAGAACAGTTGGGTTTCGAGGAATGTCTTGTTTTACGATTGTTGCGCTTTCTTCCATTTCGAGTGAAAGTGTTTGATGAAGCGATTCGAATGTGGATTCCATCAAAAGATGACGACGGATTCCTCTCGACCAGCTGTCGGTTGGCTTTACTGGGACGCTGTTTCCTTCCATTCCGGTCAAAACGTGCTAACCTTTCGTGTGTCGTGTGACGAACATCATCGGAGCAGGGTGTCATATTCACAACCAAATGTAAGCTGACAAGTCTAGAAAACTCACCGGCAAATGCCTAAAAATCGGCATATACACTCAACATCTGACCTCTTTGATGAGATATAAAGTGATTTAGTTAGTTATGCTCATATATCAACTTCGAATCATGCGAGTCTGCCTGTCTCTGTATGTGTACATGTATGCACGAGACCAACCGTGATGACTTAACGGACATCAAAAGTAGCGTCTGTTCTCGGCCATCAGAGTCTGATGACTACCATCACTCCTTCTCCTTCTCCTTCTCCTTCTCCTTCTCCTTCTCCTTCTCCTTCTCCTTCTCCTTCTCCTTCTC